GTATGTGTGTGTGTGTGTGTGTGTGTGTGTGTGTGTGTGTGTGTGTGTGTGTGTGTGTGTGTGTATAAACAAATATTATTAGGACATCCTCAGTTCATTGTGATGATGTGGGATACCACCCATTTCCTTTCTGGTATCAGCGATACAGATCGATACGATACTTTGTGCAAATGCAAATACAACCAATGTATGTGGAAAACTTAAAAAAACAGTAGTGTATTTCAAATCATAGCTTCATAAAGAATACAAGACATCAGAGTAATTAATTTATTCATTTTAAACTCAGAGGTACATTAATGTAGCGTCCTCACAGCCGAGCAGATACAACAGAAAAACCAGAGAACACATACAAAGTATGTGAAAATGTTGTTTAAATCAATAAAAATCAAGTCAAATATTAAAACCATTCAAATAATTTACTGTTTAATTATCAAGCACTAATATAAAAATGAAAACTTTCACAATTTTTGAACATGCTAACATTAAATAACGTAACATCTGAGTGAACACATGCCGCTGCGCCTACACCTTATCCAGGTGGAAGAAAAAGTAGTTCCCACCAACCGGGTCTGATTCACGCAAGATTTTAACAGTTTAATTACTTTCCACTGTGTTCCTGTTAATAATAAACATTAATCTGAAACCTGAAAGTATCAAAGTACAGATGTTTTGATTTAAGAATCGATTTTAGAAGCATGAAAATGTGAAAACAGGAACAGAGAGAATAAAAGCTGATTTCTGAGTAAAGACACCAATAACTACAGGGAACAGGTGAGAGTGGGCAGGGCATGAGCTTAATGCTTAATGTTTAAATATGTTACTGAGTCCTATTAGATTAAATTATTTTTATGTAATTTAAAACGTTCTTTGGAGGAAAACATCTACTGATGAGGTTGTTTTAGTCAAACCTTCAAAATAAAAGTTGTGAAATCACGTGACTCTCAGTTACTCTGACACACTTTAGCTTATCTTCTGTAAAAAAAAAAAACTCTGAGTTTTAACCAGTTTGCTTTTTATTAATGTTTGTTGGTTCTGGTTCATAAGATATTTTGCTAACAGACAGACCCACAGGCAAAAACATTGCTTTTTGAGTTTCAGTAGCCTGAATGTTTGCTTCAGAAAAAACTATTAAATGTGTTTTATTCCATATTATTATTATCTTATAAATACTTCATTAAAAGACAGTTTTTATTTGTAAATTTAGAATTAAAAAAACAACAAAAGTCATTTAAATTCTGCTTTAATTCACAGCATGTTTATGTTTCTAGCTGGGATTTTGATTCAGTAAACTCAGGAGCTTTAATGCTGCTCATATTGTTCCTGTTTTTTTTTTTTTTTTGGGGGGGGGGGGGGGCATCCACTGCAGTCCTCCGTCTTCTTCATCATCACAATAAAACCTCTGTAATGCTTGGCTGGTATTTTCTCCAGGGAGGGGGGCTGCCCCTCCTCCCGCCGCTGACATTTACTCCAGTGTTTTAGGTGTAGAGACGCTGGAGAGGCTGGCTTCTCTTCTTGCAGGGAACACGCAGGAAAAGGTCAGGAGAAGACAAAAACTTCTCAAACTGGGTCTTAAATCGACTTTTCTTTGATTTTTCTGCACGTTTTGATCAAAGTGTAAAGAAAACAACATTTTACATCCGAACATCTGAACATTTTATAATGTGTTCAGATTTTTTTAACGACACATTTAATACAGTGACCATCAGAATTATTCCCTATTTCATCAAACTAATTTAATTTTAAATGTAAATACTAACTATAGTATGAAATTTGATTTGAATTTGTTCCCTTCGATTTAAGGTTTAAATAACTTTAAATTAAAGTTTTTAATATTTTTAGTGGTTACTATGTTACCAAACCTTTGATTATCAGAAATCTATTATTTAAAAGAAAAATGTGACTTTCTTTATTTAACGTGTAAAAGATAAATTAATAATGTAGTCTTTTTTTGTTGAAAAGTAAATTAACAAGTTGATAAAAACAATAAAGACCAAAATAAGTGATGTAACTATAATAAAAACCAAAAAATCTGATCATTTTGATCATGTGACATCACATAAATACATGTATGATTTTACAGCAACACCAAGCACTAACCCACCCCCCACCCACTGACTGATGTCAAACAGCTTGTGAGAACATGGCTTTGATTCCCTGTGGGACCAGTCATGCATACAAACATGTACCCCCACCACCACCACCACCATCCCCCCACTGAAGCCTGGAGAGGAGCACCAAATGGCATTTTTATGTCCCATAGGCACATCTGCTCTTCTGACAAAAACCATTGTTTATGTTTTTCATCACATTCAACTAAAGAGAATATAAAAATATACAGAAACTGTTACAATCAAGTTGATTTCATAGTTATAGTAGTTATAGTTTTAGTTATATATGATATATTTCTATATAGTATATAGTTTTGTTTTGTACTGAAAACAGGCAATTTCTGATTCCTATTGTCAGATTCTGATAGTTTACTGTCTCTAAAACAAAACATATATTTTTTTATTCTTACACAATTCTTACACATTATATTTTTTATTATTAGCAGTCGTATCATTGCTAGTAAGTGTTCATTTCATTTTTTGTGCACTAACTATAGTTTGTAAAGTAACTAGTGTGTGAACCTTAGTACGGATGCTGCTGTTACATCTGAATTTCCCCTCGGCGGGACAATAAAGGCTATTTCTCTTCTATTCTTCTATTCTATTCTATTATAATTCTTATAATCTTAAATTTGCAGGTTTGTTTAAAGGCGACTCGGGTAAAAAAAAGTGTTTCCTGTACCAGGCTGTAGGTTGTGGGTCTGTTGACCCAGACTGAGTGTCCATGTTTTTATATTTGAGCTCCTGCAGGTAGAGTTCATACAAGATAATGAAGATTTAATGATAAAATGCTTTTAAGAATTTGTAATATACAGTATACCGTAATTATGGGGCTTTATGCAGAACTAAAATGTAACTTTTATTTTTTTATGGAAGCATCTGAACAAGAATTCTCACCTCTTTCTCTCCTGTTGGGTTTTTTTCTTAAGCAAGTTATTTTTATTACCGTAGCTGTCAAAGGGACAAACATAAAAGAGAAAAGTCTTGCATTTGTGTTTGAGTTTAAACATTTTCAACAACAACAAAAAAAACAACATCAGAGAATTTTTATTTTTAGCTCTGCTTTTGTAAAGAGCTGCTGGTTGGTATCTTTGCAGTTTAAAGATGGTTTCAGTCTGTTTTTGGATTTCAGAAAAGTTTTTGATAAATAAGGTTTAAAAGAAAAATGCATCAGATTTTGACTCGTGGTAATGGTCAGATTACTCCTCATTGTCTCAGCGTCTCGTGCATCCTGTCAGATATTTGATCACAATAAAAAAAAGAAGGAAATGAAACCTCTAACTGAGCCATTGTTTGGTGCTCGTTACCTATTTTTAACAAATGTTTGGTGCATTGCAGGGCGTCGGGCGCGATGGCTAATGCCTCCCCAGACCTGGACAACGCGGAAGCCCAGCGCCAACTCAACAACAACAACCGACCCGTTAGCTCCGGGTTCTGGGAGACAGAGTGCACGAGCTCCAAGCTGTTCGAGTGTTCCCGGATCAAGGCTCTGGCAGGTCAGAGGTCGCGCCGGTGTCCACACAGACACAAATACAAAAAGACAATAACTTGTATTTAATTGAGTAATTTTAGTAACAGTACCAGATACTTTGTTTCCCTCCATGTTGGCAGTAAGTTTATATTTTAATTTCTTTATTATTTCAGATGAAAGAGATGCAGTTCAGAAGAAAACGTTCACAAAGTGGGTCAACTCCCACCTGGCCAGAGTGTCCTGTCGCATCTCCGACCTCTACAACGACCTGAGGGATGGATACATGCTCACCAGGCTGCTGGAAGTGCTCAGTGGAGAGCTCCTGGTAGGAAAACACACAGCGTTTGCCAACGGACATGCTTTCCCCGAGGTTTTATTAACTGAGCAAATGTTTGGTAATAAAGAGTCGTTCATTTTTCTGTTCTTCTCAAGCCGAGGCCCACGCGGGGACGCATGCGCATCCACAGCCTGGAAAACGTCGACAAAGCCCTGCAGTTCCTTAAAGAGCAGCGGGTTCACCTGGAAAATGTGGGTTCTCACGACATCGTGGACGGAAACCACCGCCTCACACTGGGCCTCATCTGGACTATTATTCTACGCTTCCAGGTAAAACAAAACACGAGTGAAACAGCAAATTTATACATCAAAACCTTCAGCTCATTCTGCAGATTCTGGCTATGACTTTTGGTGCTTCAGCAGTTTATTCTTTTTGAGATATTTTAGCTCTTTCCGCCATGTTTTTCTCATTGAAAATGAATGGAGCTGTCGATTTTCTTCTTTTTTAGCCGTCTTTCTGATCTTTTCTGCTATTCCTCTGCTAATTTGAACTTAATTTAGCTTTTTTCGGCTTATTTCATTTGATTTATGTGTTTTCAGCTATTTTTTTAGCTATTTTAGTTTGTTTTAGCTAAACTCATGTATCTGTGATCATTTCAGCTTCTTGCTGCATTATTCAGTCAACATTTTATCATTCTTTTTGTGCTAATTTCAACTATTTTTCTAGCTACTTTTAGGCAAGTTTCATCTTCTTTCTGCTATGTGATGCTTCTTTCAGTTGCTTTCTGCTAATTCAACTGTGTTCTGTGTTTTTTTTTTTTCCAGCTAATTTGATCTTCTTTTTAGCTAAATTCACCTTTTTGTGCTAATTTCAGCTATTTCAACTATTTCGGCTAATTTTTAGCTTTTTTTAGGCAAATTTCAGCTTTTTTCTGCTATGTGAAATTTATTTCAGTTGCTTGATTGCAGCGTTTTGCCAGCTAAATTCACATTTTTGTGATAATTTTAGCTTCTTACTATGTAATTCAGTAAACATTTTCCCTTTCTGTTTGTGCTAATTTCAGCTATTTCAGCTAATTCATAAACAATTTTCCCACTCGCATCCCATTTTTAGGCAAGTTTAGGTTTTTTTTTCGGCTCTTTGAAATTTATTGAAGTTGCTTGCAGTGTTTTGTCAGCTAAATCCACCTTTTTGTGATGATTTCTGCTTCTTACTACATAATTCAGTAAATATTTTCTCTTCCTGTTTGTGCTAATTTTGACTATTTCAGCTATTTATTTATTTTTTTTAGTAATTTTTAGGCAAGTTCTATCTTTTTTAGCTATTCAGCAAAGATCTTGCAGCATTAAGCATTCACTCATTAAGCATTTTGCAGGAAATAAAATCCTCTAGTTAAACTTATCGTGTTTATTTTTCCTGTTGTACAGCTCCGTGACTTTAAGGTCTGTCGTTAAACCACATTAGACAAGTTGTAAAATCTGTGAAAAACATTTAAAACTATAAACTAAAATGTCCTAATGCAATGCTTTCATCTACAGCGTTTAAATTATTGTTGGTGCATAGTTAAATAAATAATGTGAGTGGCATTATGCACTCCTTTATTTGTCCAAATCTCTTCACAAAGCTGCAACTTAGATGCTGAAAATGTGAAGTTCCTCAGGTACAGACTGTGGAATAATGCAGGAATTTATGAACGTTTAACCCTTTCCATCTGGTTTATTTGCATTATTTAAACCCAAACTGTCCCCTGTTAGACATATAAACATGAACGTAGAAGAATTTGTAGTTAAATGTTACCTTTATTTTTTTTTGTGTAAATGGACTTTAATGTCTGGTTAGGTTTCCGTTGTCCTGCCACGCTTCATCTCTGCTCGTCTCCGGCTCTTTTCCTCTTTCCTGCCCTCCTCTGAGGTGAAAGTGAGAGTTTGCTTTGCCAGGTCAGCAGATAGGGCCCGGCCACTGCAGTGACTGCGCACGAGCAGAGAGAGGGTGGGAGAGAAAGAGAGGGGGAGAGGATTGTCAGGAGAGGAAGAGGTAAACCTAACGTATTTACAGAGCCAAAAGCAAATAATAACACACTGTTATTATTTGCAGTAACCTCGGTGATTGTGTTGCGTACGACCGGCTGCGTGACCTTGTTTTATGTGCAGTTTGCTGCTTACCCAACAAACTGCTGGGCCTCTTTCTGCTTACATCGTAAAACTGAGTGGTGACACACTGATCAGGCTTTACTGTCTTATTGACCAGATGTATGGATTCTTTTTTACATACAGACAATATTGTTTACTTTAGACACAGCTGTGTATCTTCATTTATCAGGGCGATGTTTCCTTTTCTGATTAGAACATTTCTGTGTTTAACACCAGAGTGTTTTCTACAGAATGAGTCCTGCCAGGATCTTTGAACATGTTAGGGAGAAAAAAGGAATTTATGCTCAATCAACATTTTAGTACCGATAACATTTACCCTAAGATAAATACTGAGTTGTAAATAACTCCTGAAATTTGCTGAAGAAGCTAGAATTGAGCTGGTAAAAGCGAAATGTAGCAAAATGCTAACTAAAATTTTCAAGTAACAAAAAAAAGCTTAAAGCTGAAAGTAAAAAAAATCTAAAAGCTAAATGTACTGAATCAAAATGCCAACAATTAGCTAAAATTAGCAAATTATAAATAAATGCTTGAGGTAGCAAAGAGCTAGCTTAAAGCTAAATGTATCCAAAAGCTAGTTAAAACATCAAAATAGCAGAATGGTAGCTAAATGCTAAAAGCAAAAAAGGTCTAGCTAATTACGAAAAATAGCTAAATGTTAGCTAAAATGTAAAAGTTACGTAAAATGCTAAAAGCTGAATGTAAGAAAATACCAGCAATTAGCTAAAAGTAACAAAATGCAATTTAAAAGTAACAAAACACAAGCTAAAAGCCAAAAGTAGCAAAGAATGTGTGACAGCTAAATGTATCCAAATGGTAGTAAAACCATTAAAATAGCAAGATGCTAGCTAAATGTCAAAAACAAGAACATTCGAGTAGCGAAATGTTAACTAAAATGTAAAAGTAACAAAATAAAATGCTGAATGTAACAAAATACTATCTAAAAGCTAAATGTATCAAAATGCTAGTGATTGGCCTGAAGTAGCAAAATGATAAATAAAGGCTAATAGTAGCAAATGACTAGCTTAAAGCTAAAAGTAACTCAAAATATGTACAATAGGTTGCCTTCAAGCCGAGGCCTCCTTTGCAAAAGAGATCTGTGATCTCATTGGGATTTTTCTGGTTAAATAAAGGTCAATAATAAATAAATACATTAATTAAAAAACTAAAAATTAAAAGTAACAAATCAAGCTAAAAATTAAAAGTAGAAAAAGCTCAAGGTATCAAAAGGCTAGTAAAAAACTTAATATAGCAAAATGGTAGATAAAGGCTAAAAGCAGAAAAAGGCTAGTTAAAAGCTTAAAGTAGAAAAACGTTATGAAGGAAATTTTGTAACTGAATAACTGAATGGTCTTCTGTGTTTGTCTGTGTCTCTTTCCTGTCCCCCAAACCCAGTCGGTCGAGGCAGATGGTCTCCTGTCCTGAGCCTGGTTCTGCTGGAAGTTTCTTCCTGATTAGCAGGGAGTTTTTCCTCTCCACCGTTTGCTCAGGATGGGAGACTGTGATGAAGTGATTCAACACAATCTGCTGGCTTAGGACCAGTATAGAACAAAGGAAACAGTGGTTTTGTAGGAATAAAAAGTGACCTTAATGTATTTCTATAAGGAAAATATTTCCAAATAAATTAAAAATATTTTTAAAAGTATAAAACAGTACAAAACACAAAAGTCATAGCAGCCATCTCTTAGATGAGCCGAACGATTTGATCTTAACAAAAACTGGAAAACATTTAGATTAATGTGAAACATTCAGATTATAACCAAAACTTTAGACTTTCCACCTGATGTCTTACAGAAAAAACACTAAAATCACTATTTGTTGTGTTCAGATCCAGGTGATCAAAATAAACACAGCAGACAACAGAGAAACTCGCTCTGCCAAGGATGCTCTGCTGCTCTGGTGCCAGATGAAGACTGCAGGGTGAGTCCTAAAACAATCCTGCTACATTATTAGTGATTGGTTTTTGGTTTAGGTTTAAAGTTATAAATATTTTGTCCTCCAGGTACCCTGAGGTCAACATTCAGAACTTCACCACCTGCTGGAGAGATGGCCTTGCCTTCAACGCCCTCATACACAGACACAGGTGAGAAAATGACCCCTTTTTTTAGTTTTTAAACATTTTAAATAATGTGGTTTGGATGTACAACAATCACTGAAGTTTCCAGTTTCTTCCAGCCGTGACAGTTTTAGTTTAATTCATTTCCAGACCTGACCTAATAGAGTTCCACAAGCTGACTCGGTCCAACGCAACCCACAACCTCCAGCAAGCCTTTAATGTCGCCGAACAGCACCTGGGTCTCACCAAACTCCTGGACCCCGAGGGTGAGAACAGTTTTTAGTTATCGCCTCCGGATCATTCAGACCACACTATAAAAAAAACTATTTATTTATTTTTTTGTTTGGTTTTTAGATGTGAACACAGAGAACCCAGACGAAAAGTCCATCATCACATATGTGGTCGCTTATTACCACTATTTCTCCAAGATGAAGGCTCTTATTGTGGAGGGGAAGAGAGTCGGGAAGGTACGGACATGTTTTCCACATCTGCATACAGTTAGTTTGACTAAACTTTAAAGGGATCCCTGATTAGTTGTAACATTAGACTTTATTTGATAATTAAATTTTAACTGTAAAATAAAGACTGTAAAAATACTAGGATGTTTAGTTTTTATTATTTTTAAATTAAATGTTGAAAAATATATTACATGGACGGAGCCATTTTATTTACATGCAAAGCGTTCTGGGTAAATGATGACGTGGATAGGTCCTCGGTGCGAGGCTGCTAGCGAGYTATATCCACCCTGAAGGTTAATCTTGGACAATATCTGATGATCGACTCTTTTAAATGAAACCAGAGAGCGTTGACAGAGAGGAGAAGGTAGAAATGACTCAGCCTGGAACTGAAAATATGGATGGAGGACAACAGAGCTGCTTCATGGAAGAAGAACCTCAGCTTAGCCTGTTAGCTTTAGCATTAGCGCCAACGATATATTGCCTTATATGTATTAGCTTGGTGCTAGCGCATCAAACTAACAAACTAGATTGTTGTCCTCCATCCATATCCATATTTTGTTTAATAGAAAATCTGTTTTATTTGTTTCTCCTTATTTCACATATTATTCGTGTCCCCTGAGTCTTCATCCTCCTCCTCCTCAGGTGTTGGATAACTGTATAGAGGCAGAGAAGATAATCAACCGTTACGAGGCCCTGGCGTCAGACCTGCTGGAGTGGATCGAGAAGACCATCGCGGTCATCAGCAACCAGAAGTTTGCAAACTCTCTGACCGGAGTCCAGCAGCAGCTGCAGGCGTTCACAACCTACTGCACTATAGAGAAGCCCATCAAGTACGTCTGCTGCTGTAGCCACTTTAAAAACACTGACGCGTTGTTAAAACCTACGGCTGATGTGTTGCTGATAAGGGAATCACCATTTCCTGCTTCCTGTCCAGGTTTCAGGAGAAAGGGAACCTTGAAGTCCTTCTTTTTACCATCCAAAGCAAACTCAGAGCTAATAACCAGAAACCTTACGTGCCTCACGATGGGAAGCTCATCTCAGACATCAACAAGGTCGCCCCACCGCCGATCGTGAAGGATAAAGTGCAGCGACATTCTTTTCTTACTTGCATACATATTTTGTTTGTTTAGGCCTGGGAGCGGTTGGAGAAGGCGGAGCACGAAAGAGGCGTGGCTTTGCGGAAAGAGCTGATTCGTCAGGAGAAGTTGGAGCTGTTGGCTCAGCGCTTCGACCACAAAACAACCATGAGGCAAGCCTGGCTCAACGAGAACCAGAGACTCGTGTCGCAGGTAGGGACGGCAAGGGTCAGACCCTGTGCAGATTAAATCTAAAACAACCCCAATATTAAAAAAGCTTTAATATGTTTACATTGTTCCACTGTACATAAAAAATGAGTTTATGAAATTTGCAAATCAATAAATCAAGTTTTTTTTTTTACATTTTACTCAATATCTCATTTTTTTAAAACTGGGGTTGAATTTTACAGAGCTCCTAAGGGGACATGGGGAAAAATAAATGATCCTGATTTGCTTTTGCAAGATCCTGCAAAGGTTTCTTGGGATCCTGCAAAAGTGTCGTACGGCACATAAAAGGACTCAAATGCAAGACTCAACACAGTCACTCAAAATCATAATCCATTTATTGGGTCCAGGGTCGGTACACAAAGTGGCAGTCCAGGTTAAGGTATCCAAAACAAAGGCAGAGGCGAATCCAAAATACAAGCTGGGTCAAGTTCACTGGAAGACAAAGT